TCGCATGCAGGGGAAGTCCCTAAGTCACCCAGGGCTTGAAACCTTTGAAGCCATTCCCAGGGTGTGGCCACTGTCACATGCTGACAGCTTCTAGGAGCCACAGTTGGGAGCCAAGTGCAGGATGGGGACTGTTAAGTTGTGGGTGAACATATCAGACGACACAGCGATTCTTCAAACAGCTCTTGTTTATTCACAGGCCAGAACAGAACTGAACTGAAGGGTTCAGCCAGCCTGCTTATATAGAGCTCCACCACAACGCAACAGTAACAACTTTCTGTAACTATCCAATCACTGAACGTCACTTTCAATTCCTTATTTGAATATGTGGACCTGAGTGAAAACTATCTACAGTATCCCCCTGTTGGCCCAGGGTGAGAACTTCAGTACATAACGGGGACCAAAGGTGGACAATCTACTCCAAGGTGTACGATTACCCTTCCCCTAACACCCATTCACTCCAGTACCCACCTGGGTATCCTGGGGGTTGTCCCAGGGACCTTCTGCTCTGCCCGTGGGGTACAGTCCTTCCCCATTAACTCAGCAATCCCATAAGCCACTCTATGAATCGTTACTGGTCAGAAGAGAAGCTAGCTGGATCAGGCCGGGAAGGAGGCATAGCACAATGGGACTGCAGGACATTCTCTCGACCCCCCAAGTTCATTGGCCACTTCTTATGGTCCAAAGATGCGGCCCGTGGAACTGTCGCCAGGTAGCTAGATCACCTGGTCTCCTCCAAAGATGCTTTCTAGGGCTGCCTCTAAAGACACAGTTGACCAAACAAAGGAACTTGAGGGGCGGTGGCTCGCAGAGGGCAAGAAAGGAAGCAGGTTGGTGGCTGAATTACCCATAATCAGTTTGAAGTAACCAGCCAACTCTCGGCTTGCAAGATAGGCGCCCAGCCAATGAACTTGGTTGCCAAGGTGACTTTCAAGTAGGTTGGCCGCCTTAACTGGTCCAACTGGTGTTTCAATGTTCTGGTCCAATTTATTTTGAACCTTTGGGGCCTTTCAGTAAGGACAAAGCCTGCCTAGAAATCCATGGGCTAGGACTTCTATATATTATTGCAACTATTCAAATTCCAGGCCAGAGTATGCCATAAAGGTAAAGGGTAAAGGGACCCCTGACCATTAGGTCCAGTCGTGGCCGACTCTGGGGTTGCGGTGCTCATCTCACTTTATTGGCCGAGGGAGCCGGCGTACAGCTTCCGGGTCATGTGGCCAGCATGACTAAGCCACTTCTGGCAAACCAGAGCAGCGCACGGAAACGCCGGTTACCTTCCCGCCGGAGTGGTACCTATTTATCTACTAGCACTTTGACGTGCTTTTGAACTGCTAGGCTGGCAGGAGCTGGGACCGAGCAATGGGAGCTCACCCCATCGTGGGGATTCGAACTGCCAACCTTCTGATCGGCAAGTCCTAGGCTCTGTGGTTTCACCCACAGCGCCACCCGCGTCCCTTGTGGGTATGCCATAGTTCTATTCAAATTCCAGGCCAGAGTATGCCATAGTTCTTCAACAGGAATAAAACCAGAACATAGGGCCAAATTTACAAAGGCTTGCATGGAATGGACTCCGGAAAGCTCTGGTTGCAAAACTGTAGGTTTTTGAGGCATATCTCCAATGCTATAGGAATTATACTTTACAAATCTATATATATATATATGCAGGTCTTGCTGAACCAGAAGGATGGAAATCTCATATCCCATGCGAAATTCACCACTGCCTCTGGAATTGTGGTGTTGGTCATCTTACGTAGGAAGATACCTCATGCCGAAGTTAGACCCTTTGCCCATATTCTAGGTTGCTGCTTTTGTTTTGCAGGTGTATTCCGCATCATATCATTAATGCAACAGTGGCGGACTTATACTGGACTGTCTGCACATCCACTTCATTATTCCCACTTTATTATTTGTCCCACAATGTGTTATTGCATTATTGCTTTGCACTACAGCACAATGACTGCGGGACGCACACTTGCGGCATGAAAAGATACCACATTTCAGGAAATGAAAAAAATAGAGATGAAGCAGTATGTCTACCGCAAATCCTTCGCAGGTGAAGACAGTATCGAGAGTGGGATCGTGTATAACCATCACGAGGGCAAATCATTATGAACGCAGCATTAAAAGGATGTCTGCAGAGGCCGTCGCTCAGTGTTGCCGCTAAAGTGACTGGCGAGAACTCTCTCCAGGCAGAGCTCTTGCCTGGCCTGACCTGGAGATGGCAGGAATTGAACCTGGAACCTTCTGCATCCCAACCTTCTGCGCTATGGCCCTTCCCACCTGACCTCTTCTTAGCCTCTTCAAAGAACAACAGAATACTGAAGGCCTCTTTTCTGGGGTTCTGTTGGAACCGCAGCTAGTAAAACAGGTTCAAAACTGGCTTCTTGTGGTGAAAACCCAGGGACCAAACCCTGTACTTTTCAAGACAGGAAGCAGAAACCAGCATGGCTTTTCATCGCAAGATTAGCTAATTTGAAGAACCAGACTGAAGACACCCGAGTCTTAATTACCACTTATCAAGTGGCAATGATGAAAACGGTTGCACATCAAGTTTATTGAAGAAATCCATGGCAATCCAGCAATCTCTCTGAATTTGCAAAGGAGTCCTATTCTTCTCAAGCAACGGCGTGCAAAGGAAAGCGGGCCTGCCTGATCCTTGCAAAAATAAACCTTGAAGGAAGCTTCAACGTGCTTTAGCTTGAAAGCAATCGATACCAGAAAATATTTGAAATTGCTATGTTTTTATGATTACGCCCACGCCCCTGGAGAGTCTGGCTACAGAAGCCAATGGAATTTGCAGGTAAGCCACTGCTCACTGCACACCAAAGGGATGTTCATATCAACAGCCATGACAAGGGGGAGGGAGAGTGAAGTCACAACCAGAGGCCACGCCCCACAACAACGGATGCTCGGCAAGGTGGAGAACGGGCTCCTCCATGCAATGTGAGACCCTGGGTCACTTATAATTCTCCCTTGGGTGCAGAGCTCCACATAGGTCCATCAGGATGTATGCCTGTGTGGTGCAGTGGTTAGCGTGTTGGACTAGGACCTGGGAGACACCGGTTCAAATCCCCACAGACCCACGAAACTCACTGGGTAATCCTGGAACATCCACGGTTGTGGTGAGGATTTAATGGGATTTTTTTGGGGGGGGGGAGGAGAACCACTTACGCCACCTTGAGGTTGGGGTGGCGGTGGCACGGAAGCAGGATAGGAACAAAAATTAATTAAAAAATGTGCATAGGGCCCCCTTTTCATAGCTCCATGGTTCTTTTAAAGTATTAACAGGGTTCGCCTGAATTCTCCCTCAAGTCTCCGGGAATGCCTTTGAGGTGAAGCAGAAGTTGCGGATAAGGCCTCCGCCCTCCTATATGCCCCCCAAAAACCCATATGAGTTAAGATTTGCTTTATTTTCTCTTTTGCACTCACAGCCTCAAGCCCGCTTTTAAGTCACGTGATTAATGAACTGGTTGAGATAACCGGTACACTTAAAATACACACCGCACCTTATAACTGTGTGCCATATGAACACACAGAAAAGAAACAGGTACAGTGGTACCTCTGGTTACGTACTTAATTCGTTCCGGAGGTCCGTTCTTAACCTGAAACTGTTCTTAACCTGAAGCACCACTTTAGCTAATGGAGCCTCCTGATGGTGCTGCACGCGATTTCTGTTCTCATCCTGAAGCAAAGGTCTTCACCAGAGGTAATATTTCTGGGTTAGTGGAGTCTGTAACCTGAAGCCTATGTAACCTGAAGCGTATGTAACCCGAGGTACCACTGTATTGCTATATTTCTCGAATGAGCCTTATTTGTGTTACAAAGCTTACTGCCAAAATAGTGGCTGTGGGAAGAGCTGAGGTGACAGGGTGGGATAAATTAACCCCTCAGATGCAGGGTGGCGGCAGCGGCTGTTATTTAGAAAATAAATAAATACTTAATCTCTCGGAAGAACCCTCTGTGGAGACCCTGGAGAAGGAAGGGATTGTAAACAGCAGCCACCAAAAGAAACTCTGCATCTCTTCCCACTGACGTGCAGCTTCCTGCACAACACACAGCGGGGTGTGTGGGTCCATAACCCCGGTCACCAGGGTGCGGTTGTCCCCCTCCGAAGAACGTGACAAACTCCAGCCTCCTTCCCAACCTGCTGAGCGTATGCTGTGCTCCAGGCATGTGCAGAGTGCAGCACAGCAGCTGGGACCACCCTCTGTGGCTGCTGCGCCACCCCCAAATCCCAAGGCTGTGGGGAGAAGGTGGGGCCGTGTCATTTCCACATTGCATTTCTGGACAGATGCGAAGGAATGACCCCACCCCACAAGCCCGAGGCAAAGCATGAGATCAGGAACAAAGCCCCGTGCCTCTTGCATAAGCGGGAGGGAGGCGTGATCCAGCCCCCCCCAAAAAAAACGAAAGCATTTCGGTCGTCTCCCCAAGCCAGCCAAGACGTAGACACTCCCTGCCCTAGGCAGTCTTCCTGCCCACATCTATTTCCCCTTCTGGGTGGATCCCGGATCGCACCCTCTTCTCGTGGGGGTGGGGTCCCTTCTCTCTGGGGCGCCCACTTCAGATGAAGGATCCCACGCATCCCCACCCCACCCTTCCATTGTCTCAGCTCCACGCCCACTTTCCAGACAGGTAGAACCCCTGGGGCGGGAGGGGATCGCGCCCATCTCTCGACCCCCCCCCCACTCCTTGCAGGGTAGGATCCTTCGCCTCGCCACGTTCCTCCCAGCCCCTCCCGTTAGCTCCCTAAGGTTAGGCACCTTCTCCAGCGCCACCCTCGAACCTTCGGGTTCCCCACGGGTGAGGGGGGCTGCGCGCCCACGTACCCCCCCGCCCACGCATCCAGATGCCCTCCTGGGGGGGGGTCTGCTCCTCCTCCGCTCCCCTGCCCCGCCACGCCCACCGTTCCCTGCACTGCGGGGGAAAGGAAACCGAGTCCGCGCCCAGCCGCCGTCGAACCGGAGACGCTTCCCCACCCCACCCCCGTCGACACCCACCTTGGGGCTGGAGACGCCCTCGCCCACGGCCAAGACGGTGCCGGCCGCCTCCATGCCCGGGCTGAAGGGCAGCGGCGGCAGCCTGTCGTACACCCCCTGTCGGGCCAGCAGATCCGCGAAGTTGAGCCCGCAGGCCCGCACCTCCACGCTGACTTGGCCCGCGGCCGGGCTGGGCTCGGCGGCCGGCAGCTGCCGCGTCTGCACTTCACTTTCTCGTAGCCGCCGAAGCCGCTCAGCACCAGCGCCCGGTACTGGCGCCCGGGAGCAGCGGCAGCCGCCTCCGACGGGGCCCCCGCAGCCTTGCCCTCCTCGGCGGGCTGCGCGGCCGGAGTGGCTTCTTGCTGCTGCTCGGGTGGCGCCGCGGTGGCGCTTTGCGGGGCGCCCGCGTCGCCCCCGGCCGCCTCTTCCCCGGACATGGCAGCTTCGGAGCTGGCAGAGAGCCGTCGGGCGCGCAGATGCTGCTGCTGCTGCGAGGGCGAGAGAGAGAAGGCGAGGAGGGCGCGGCTGGCCAGATGCGTAAAACAGCTGGAGAGGGGAGGCGGCGCGCAAGAGCCGGAGCTGGAAGCGGGCGCGGAGCGGCGGCGGGAAGGAAAACCCGGAGCGCGGAGCACGGAGCGGAGCCGGGGACTGCCTCCCTCCCTCCTTCCGTCCGTCCGTCAATCCTGGACGCCCACTCGGCTTGGCTTCCAGGAAGCGAGGCGGAGACTGGAAGGAGGAGGCGGCTGGGTGCGCCTTTCTGACGCAAAAGGCAGCCAGCTTCTCCTCCCATGGCGTTTACTCCCAAGTAAGTGCGTGCAGATGCGCGTTTACCTAGGAGTAAGCCTTGCTGCACTGAAAGGGCCTTGCTCCGATGTGAGCATCCACGTAGAATTACCATGCAACCACCTGGTCTCCTTGCGAGTAAGCCTCCCTGAGTTCAAATGGTCTTAATCCTAAATGCGCTTCCGTTTCTCGCGTCTGTCTTAGCACCCATCTCTATTATGCTATTTCTATTTTTTCTAAATCCCCTTATCAACTTGTAAACTATAGTCACGTTTCTCTCAATCCATTGTGCTGGTCATAATTTGTCTTCCTTGCATAAATTGGCCTTCTTCTGTTCTGATCACACCTAATTCTACTAATTTGATCCTTTCTCTCTCCCCCCCCCCACACCCAAATTCTTGTAACTTGCACCTAGAGTTGTGCTGCACAACTTGCTTTTTGTGCTTGGATTGGACCCAAAAATTGATCAGTGAGTCCAGTTTGAATCCTGTGACTCACTAGGGAGTGGACCACTATTCTGTCACACACCCACCCAAAAAACCCCTCATTCCATCCCTCCCATTCATCCTCATCATAACCTAGCTCATCTGACTGGGTTGCCACTCAGGGCGGCTTACGAAAACATAATAAACATTAAACATTAAAAACTTCCCCGTACAGGGCTGCCTTCAGGTGTCTTCTAAAGGTTGTAAGTTACTTTGTGTGGCCGAATGTTCAGTAGTTTAAATAGCCTGGTGATTTAAAAAAGATTCATAAATTATCCTGATTTATGGGTTAGCGCTGAGGTGTCCTAGGTTTGCGCTAAATTGAGCTCCATCTGCGCTATACCTTAAAGCAGTATACCACTTTAAACAGTTGCTGCATCCCTCAAAGAATTCTGGGAATTGTAGTCCATCAAGGGTGCTGATCATTGTTAGGCGACCCCCCAATTCCACACACAGAGCGACAGGTCCTGGAGTAGTTTAACTGTCAGTCCCTTTTCCCAGGGAACTCTGGGCACTGTAGCTCTGTGGCGGGAATAGAGACCTTCCCAGGAACTCTCAGCACCCTTCCCAAACTACATTTCCCAGGATTCATTGGGAAGAAGCCATGACTTTTTAACAGTGGTAAGGTAAAGGGACCCCTGACCATTAGGTCCAGTCGTGGCCGACTCTGGTGTTGCGGCGCTCATCTCGCTTTATTGGCCGAGGGAGCCGGCGTACAGCTTCTGGGTCATGTGGCCAGCATGACTAAGCCGCTTCTGGCGAACCAGAGCAGCACATGGAAACGCCATTTACCTTCCCGCCTATTTATCTACTTGCACTCTGATGTGCTTTCGAACTGCTAGGTTGGCAGGAGCTGGGACTGAGCAACGGGAGCTCACTACGTCGCGGGGATTCGAACCGCCGACCTTCTGATCGGCAAGTCCTAGGCTCTGTGGTTTAATCCACAGCGCCACCCGCGTCCCTCTTTTAACAGTGGTATGATACTGCTTAAAATGCATAGCGCAGATGGGGCCTGAATTATTTGTGATGAAAACCCAAGTAGATTGAAAAGAGCTCCGAAAGGATCTTGCCAAACAAAAAGCAAGAAAATGGCAAATGTGGTCCATTGCAAAGAAACATAAACCAGAGATGAAGACCTGTGGCAGATATCCCAGATACCGTCATTCTGGCCAACCATCAGAGGTGATGATAGCTGTAGCCCAAAGCAGTTGAAGAGCCATCCTGGCTGCATTTAAAAAAAAAAAAAAATTTCTATATACCGTGATGAGTCTGAACTGGCAGTGACTAATCATGACAGAGATCTTGAGCTCAGTTGAGATGCTGACATAATATGCAGCTGTTGTGAAAAGGGCAAATTCCTTGCTATGATTATTAGGAAATGAAACTTTGGACAGTAATAACATTGGAAGGGGAGGTGGTGGACTCATTCCTGGGAGGTTTTAAGTGGAGGTTGTGGGTGGTCATCTGTCAGGGATCCTTTAGCTGAGATTCCTGCATTTGCAGCAGGCTGGATTGGATGACCTTCAGGGTCCCTTCCATCTCTACAATTCCACGATTCCATGGAAACTGCCAGGGCTGTGGGATCCTTGTATAAAGCTCTGGTGGGACCACGTTTGGAACTGTGTGCAGTTCCGGTTGCCCTGATGTCTCATAGTAGGGCCGGCCTTGTAACAGTGAAACACAGAGGCATGTACCGTATTTTTCGCTCTATAAGATGCACCAGACGATAAGACGCACCTAGTTTTTGGAGGAGAAAACCAGGGGGGAAAATATTCTGAATCTCAGAAGCCAGAACAGCAAGAGGGATCGCTGTGCAGTGAAAGCAGCAATCCCTCTTGCTGTTCTGGCTTCTGGGATAGCTGCGCAGCCTGCATTCACTCCATAAGACGCACACACATTTCCCCTTACTTTTTAGGAGGGGAAAAGTGCATCTTAGAGAGCAAAAAATACGGTAAATCACACGCAAGATGGAACTGTTTCAGGAATTGTTCCCTGTCTGCGGGATCTTCTGTGGATCGACTCTGTAGACACCCAGTGTCCCAAGCAGTGTTTGTGCCTCTATCCTGCAACTCTGTTGGCACAGGAAACGCCAGCAGGAACTGCGGGAGACTAGCAGTTAGGTACGCACCTCTCTACCTCTCAGCCTGAAATCTCCCTCTGCTCTAAGGAAGGCGAAGCAGCTTGGCTTGTTCAAATGCTGCTTCCGATGGGTAGAAACCTCGCTGAAATCTTACAAGATCTGGGCACCCCATATAAATGCGGTGAAAATAAACTAGAGTGAACATTCCGAAGCCTGAGCCACAGTTCGGCCTCGGTCTTCCCTTCATGGTAATGGGCTCGTCACTCAGTTTTGCCCCTCTCTGGGCTTCAGGGCCTAAGTCAAGGGTTTCCTCCTCTCTGCGCTTGGTGCTTGAGTGCTGTCAATAAGGGAAATAAAGGCTGGGCATGCATGGAATAAATGAAACGGATTCAGGGTAAGATTCTCCCCAGTCCACTCCAGGTCTTCCATTCTCGGTTTCCTGGTTAATTCTACCCCCTGGCACAAGCTGTCCGTCCTCCTGTCTCAGGTTAAGCGCTATCCTGCTATATTATGAAACTGCTTTTCAAATCCTGTGGGTTGCAGGAGCGCAAGGAAGACGGCACCTTTCCGCCATCGCTCCTCAAACGCGCCAAGTTGGCTTTTTCTCAGGCAGCTCTGCTGAAACAGAGGGACGTCGCATGCTCACAGAGAGATTTGTTTGCAAACCTCCTGTGCTGCAGCCATGTGGAGCTTTGCAGAGTTTGTGGGTTCATTTACTAAATACCTCCCCCAGGCTGCAGATGGAGACATCTGCGCTGATCAAAGCAGGCTTGCAAAACACAAGGGCACAATCCGCAGGGAATTAGGAGCCGGATCAGGCCGGGCCCTCAAGAGTTTGATGTTTGCAGGGCTGTCGTCCCTGGTTGGCCACCTGATGCCTCTGAAACCCCCCCCCAGCATATTCTGTTTCCCAGGGGAACCGTCATGTGACCAGACCTTATGACGGCAGTTGGATGCTGTCCAGGGTCACTAGAAACAAAACAAATCTCTCTCTCTCTCTTTCTCTCGTTCATTATTAGTAAACAGCACCTGCATTTTCTAAGGTTCACAGGTAGCAAACTGAGTGGGTGCAGGGGAGGAGAACACAATATCCAGGGCAGCTTATTTCCTGTGCTCCCAGACTAATTTTGCACCTGGCGAAAGTCCAATTTAAAAGTTTCCCCAAGGTGGTTTAACATAGACCAGAAACCCACATGCAAACAACAACCCAGAAAGCATATGGGTTGCATACACACCATACATTTAAAACAACCTCCCCATCACACACACAAAATCCTGGTGGCTGTAGTTTGCCCCCCCACAGCGCTACAGTTCCCAGCGCCCTTAACAAACTATAGTTCCCAGGATTCTTTGCCACATGCGGTGCTTTGAAGATACGGAGGCTGAGAGCCATGGCTTTTAAGTTGTGCTCCACATCTTTGACGCTACTCAAAGATGGAGATGCCACAGGTAAAATGGGAGAGTATTGTACACTGCAGATGAAACTGCTATAGTGTCTTATTGCAGTGCTTTTGAGTCACAGGGATGTGGGTGGCGCTGTGGTCTAAAGCATTGAGCCCATTGGGCTTGCTGGTCAGAAGGTTGGCGGTTCGAATCCCCGCAACAGGGTGAGCTCCCGTTGCTCTGTCCCAGCTCCTGCCAACCTAGCAGTTCGAAAGCATGCCAGCGCAAGTAGATAAATAGGTACTGCTGCAGCGGGAAGGTAAATGGCGTTTCCGTGCGCTCTGGTTTCCGTCATGGTGGCCCATTGCATCAGAAGCAGTTTAGTCCTGCTGGCCACATGACCCGGAAAGCTGTCTGTGGACAAACACTGGCTCCCTCATCCTGAAAGCGAGATGAGCGCCGCAACCCCATAGTCGCCTTGGACTGGACTTAACCATCCAGGGGTCCTTTACCATTTTACCTTTTGAGCTTCAGGCCCTGATGCTGGTTATATTGCACAGGAGCACAGTGGTGGCAAGAAATGGTGTGAAGAGCCTTTCCTAGGCAGCATAATATATTTTCCAGCTTTTTCCATAGGTGCTTCATGGTGGAGGGAGAGAGCTCCGCGCACAGATTGTGTGCCTTTAAAGTATATTTGAAGCATATTTCCCTTCTCAAATAATTCTGGGCATTGCAATTCCTGAAGGGTTTGCTGTAGCCTCCAACATTTCTCTGATGAAAATAGGGACATCCTATTCAACAACATAGTGATGT